GTCACCTGGCTTGATGGTAATGGTTGAGTGGGGGATATGCCATGCCATGAGATTGCAGATTGTGCTGGAATACAGTTCTGCTTTTGATGATGGCCCACAGCGCCTCATGAATTCCCAGTCTTGAGATGCTAAATCTGTGCTAAGTCTGTCCCATTTAGCATGGTGATAGTGCCACACAACACAATGGAAGTTATTCTCAATGTGAAGGCACGACATCGTCCCAACAAGGACTGTGTGGTGGTCACTCTTACCACTACTATCATGGACAAATGCATCTGCAGCCAGCAGACTGGTAAGGATGAGGTCAGGTATGTTTATTCCCTCTTATTGGTTCCCTCACCACCTGCCGCAGACATAGTCCAGCAGCTATGTCCTGTAGGACCCAACCAGCTCAATCAGTATTACTGCTGCCGAGCCACTCTTGGTGCTGTATATTGAAATCCCCCACCCAGAGTACATTTTGTGCCCTTGCCACCTCAGTGCTTCCTCCAAGTGTTGTTCAACATGGAGGAGCACTGATTCATCAGCCGAGGGAGGATACATTGTAAGCAGGAGGTTTCCTTGCTCATGGTTTACTCAAAACTATGAGACTTCATGGGATCGGGAGTCAATGCTGAGAACTCCTGGGGCAACATCTTCCCAACTATATGCCATTGTGCTGCCACCTCTGCTGGGTCTGTCCTGCCAGTGGGACAGGACATATCCAGGGATGGTGGTGTCTGGGATATTGTCAGGTACGATTCCATGAGTCTGGCTATGTCAGGTTGTTGCTTGACTAGTCTGTGAGACAGCTCTCCCAGTTTTGGCGCTAGCTCCCAGATGTTAGGAAGGAAGACTTGCAGTGTTGACAGGGCTGTTTCTGCTGTTGTCTTTTCTGGTGCCTAGGTCAATGCCAAGTGGTCTGTTGGTTTCATTTCTTTGTTGAGACTTCATCACAATTGATATAACTGAGTGGCTTACTAGGCCATTTCAGACAGCAGTTGAGAGTCAACCACATTGCTGTGGTTCTAGAGTCACATGTAAACTACAGCAAGTGAGCCAGGCAGGTTTTTCAATAATCAACAATGGTTTCATGGTCACAAGTAGATTCTTCATTGCAGATTTTTTTATCAAATTCAAATTCGATTGACTGGCGTGGATGGATTTGAACCTGGGTCCCCAGAACATTAGCCAAGTTTCTGGATTAATAGTCTAGCGGTCATCCCACTAGGCCACTGCCTCCCCTCTGCTTCACTGATGAGAGAAAGCAGACTAATGGAGCAGTAACAGGCAGGGTTGAGTGGTCCTGCTTAGTATGCGCAGGGCATATCTGAGAAACCCTAACACTAACTCCTGCAGAGTCAATGCCAATGTTGTAGCTGTACTAAAACAGCTTGGCTGGGGCCAGAGCGAGTTCTGGAACAGAAGTCTTCAGGACTATAGCTAGAACGTTGTCAGGGCCCATAGCCTTTGCACCATCCAGTGCATTCAGTCATGTCTTGATATCACGTGGAATGAATCAAAATGGCTGAAGACTTACATCTGTGATGCCTGGGAACTTGATGGGTCAAAGGGCCTTTTCTGTGCTGTATGACTCTTACGACTCTGGAGGAGGCTGAGATGGATTATCCACTTGTCACTTCTGGCTGAATATTGTTGTAAATGTTTCAGCCTGATCATTCGTGGCCTTATCTTATGCTGGGCTGCCCCATCATTTAGAATGGGGATATTTTTGGAGCCACCTTCTCCAACGAGTCCACCATTACTTACAACCGAATGTGGTAGGATTGCAGAGCTTAGATCTGACCCTTTGGTTGTTGAATTATCCCAGTTTCGCACTTGCTGCTTACGCTATTTGTCACCTTAGTAATCCTGTGTTGCAGCCCCATCTCACTTTTAGGCATGCCTGGTCCTACCCTTGGCATGACCTCCTGTACTTGTCATTGAGCCAAAGTAAACTCCTAGTTTGATGGGAAGGGTAGAATTAGAATGAGATCTGTGCCAGCAGCCACATCCATGAATGATTCAAAAGAAATCTGGTGCTGTTGATGATCCAAACACCTCAAGGATGCCCAGTCTTCAGTTGCTAGATCTGTTTGAAGTCTATCTTATTTAGCATGGTGGTCATTCCACACAACACGTTGGAGAGTATTCTCAATATGAGGACAGGACTCTGCTTCCATACAGACTGCAGCGTTTACTCTTCCAGATGTTGTCTTGACAGATGCATCAATGGCAGGTTGGGTGTTGAGAATGAGAGCAAGTATGTTTTTCCCTCTTGTTGGTTCCCTGAATACCTACAGCAGACCCAGTATAGCAGTAATGTCCTTTTGGACTTGACTAATTCCATCAGTACTGGTGCTGCATAGCCAATGATAATGGACATTGAAGTCTCCCAACCAGAATTCATTCTGCCCCCTTGCCAACAAGTGTTTCCTCCAAGTTATTAAAATCAGAGTTGAACAACCCAACCTACTGAATATAATTCTGGACAGCCATAGCATTGAGATACCAAATTGTCCATTATACAGGTGATCAATCAGAAGGATGGACTCCAGTGTTTTACCTCTTCTTAAAACCGGATATATTTTGAGTGAACAAACATAGAATTTACAAAAAGGTCAGGAATTCCCCCGAACTCCTCCTTTTAGGCTTCTATCTCATTTTCTGAGTCAATGTTTGGACAGGTACACAATTCAGCATAGTCTCTCACCAACCACACCTTTCAACTTTATCCCCTTCAGCCAGCATCCACAACAGCTCACATTAACATCACTCCACTCTATATGCAAATACCTCAATAGTCAAACGAGGAGTCAAGTAAAAAATAACTGCAGGAGTCACTCTCATTTGCACAAGCAACTCTTGACAGCATATACAAAGACCTTGAAGCAAGACATCTGCTGTTCTGTATTTCTTCATAATGATACTTGTGATACTAAAGAGAATAAGTTCCAATCTCCCTGTGATTCAACTTCAATTAGTCGGTTTTGTAGCTGCTGAAAATCCCAACTTGCGACAGCTCACTGTGTCATTTCTCTTTCTTTTCTCTGGGATCAACTTCCATGAGGAGGCCTCAATAAAATGAGGGGTTGGATAAATCATTACCAATAGAGAAGTGAAACTTTAGGTACCACAATGATAGCAGCCGAATTTAAGCCCTTGTCAAGTCCAATTATGGAAATTATAAAAATGATCAAGACCAACAAAATTTTTAAGAACCTATTTAGTATGATATGCAAAACAGGAATTCAAATACAAAATACCAAGGCAATATATTTTCACTGTCTGTTTTCTACAAGAATCAAGAATACAGTTAGGCTATTTGTATTTTTTTCAGAACTATAGGTACCACTGGCTATGTAAACACTGGTTGCCCATCCCTAATTGTCTGTGAATGGAGTGTTTTGTTAAGCCATTTCAGAGGGTAGTTAGGAGACAACCATTTGCTATGAGTCTAGAGTCACCCGGAGCCCAGACTAGGTAAGGACTTTAGCGAAAAAGATGGGTTTAAATGACAATTAATTAGAATCCCATGATCACCATTACCGACATGAGCTTTAAATTCAAGATTTATTCATGAATTAAATTAAAATTACTGGCTGCCATGGCGAGATGTGAATGCATGTCCTTACAGAATTGGCCCCTGGACTATCACTGACTGCCCCTCGCAACTTAATCAACTGTGCTCTCAGCCTTTTAATATTCTGCTCCTCTGAGACGGCAGACTGTTGGGAATCTATCAATTTAGGTGTAAGACACTGATGTTGAGGTTGGCTGGCTCGCCGAACTGGTTTGTTGTTCCGCTGTTTCTGATGCTGAAAGATTCTACACGCCCCGACACAGTCATCATACTACCCTACATCGGGAACACGTCAGAACTCACCACAAGACTTCTACGGCCACTGGGCATCAGAGTGGCACACAAACCCACATCAACCCTACGACAAGCGCTCACCCGAACTAAAGACCCACTCCCCGCCATGGACAGGACCAATGTCATCTACAAGATCCCCTGCAGAGACTGCGAGAAACATTACATCGGACAAACAGGAAGGAAACTAACAACAAGAATACATGAACACCAACTGGCTACAAAAAGACACGACCAATACCCACTCATCTCAACCCACATGGATAAGGAGAACCACAACTTCGACTGGGACAACACCAAGATCCTGGGACAGGCTAGGCAGAGACAAGCACGAGAATTCCTGGAAGCATGGCACTCCACGAAGCAGGCTATTAATAAAGACATTGAACTCGACCCCATATACATTCCACTAGGGAGGAAACCCGGAAGTGAGGCAATCCATCGCAACAGACCCCAGAGTTTAAAAGCCAGGCAGGAAAACACACTGACGCTTCATCAGAGGCTGCACTGAGGATGTTACCAAGCACGGTAACAAAACGTCTGCGGAACAACAAACCAGCTCGGCCAGCCAACCAACCTCAACACCCACAACCCGAGCTACAAATCTACTCCAAAACCTTAAAAGACACTGATGCACATGTGCAGAAACAGAAGGATTACTCCAGAGTCATACCTGAAGAAATCAAGATTACAAGGTTGAATGATTTTGATAATTATTGTTGATATTGTGCTGTACGAGCTTGTACGGCTCTGACAACTGACTGTAAAGAAAAGGTAAGGACTGCATCAGGTATGACAATCACCAGACATAACATTTCATCCAAACACTCAAGTAAATGCATTGCATAAATTTGCTGTTAAATTCTAAAAGTTAGTCCGCCCTCTGTACACAGGATTATCTAGATCCCATTGGTATACGAGAACAACCTCTTAAATGAACAGGCCAGAGCATACTCTCCCACTTTTAATGCACAAGGCCATTATAGAAGATGCCTACTGAAAACATAGCAATTTGGCAAGTCAGGCCACCACTCATGATTTTACTGATTTAGCCCGTGTTTTTTAGATATAAAAGGTTGAGGCTCCTACGATGTCAGGAAATTTAATATTGTACAAGGAACCACTAGAAACGAAGATCCACACTGACCTGCTTGTAATGTTCCAGGTATTCCTTTGGGGGCTGTTTCTGCTTTTCTGCTATCTTGCCCAACATATAGTGAATGAGCCACTCCTCTTCATCACCATCTCCTTCACAATGTGTTGCTGATAGAAAACATTGTTTAGCTGTCTCGAGCATACTGTCCCTTCGCTCTTCCATCTGCAACACAAAACAAAGACAACGAACAAGAGCACATCAAACATTTTAAATCATCTCAGCATTCAGTGATCTGAAATAGCAAAACCACAATGGCTCCCCCTTCAACCCAAACAATACTTTCAGACTGAATGAGAAGGCACAGGCCACTCTAATTCACCTAGTTACAAGTCATTGGTGGTAGGAATCTCAGCTGTATATTAACTACCTGTCTCTGAGTCACAAAACGAATGAGACATGAAATGAAAGATAAAACAGATACAAGAAGAACAAACACTGAAAAGGAAACTTCTGGAACTAATACTCAATTTTAGTCAAAAAATTGTAGTTAAAAAGCCCACACCACATGATTTAAGTTGATCTTAACTTGATTTGATGCACCAAACATCTCGAATTCCACAATTCCTACTCAACAAAGTTCCATATCACACTAAGTCACTATTACAGGAATATTAGTTCAGGGAAAGTCACTGCTGTATCAGTTTTTATGCAGCACTTTATACGACTTTACAGATGACACAATGTACCTCCTTTGTAATGAATTAACAAGGAAATCAATGACTAGTGTTGGTCTATCCATTAGACTCAAGGTAGAATCAGCATCCCTCTTTCTGCTACATCCAGATACAGAAAGCACAAGCTGAGCATGAGCTGTATTATTCAAAGTATTGTAACAATGACAAAAATAAGCCTTCCTCCCTTACCCAAAGCAAAGTACTTGAAACAAACCCTTTAAGACATTCATAACAAAGAAATCAACTATCAACAGAATAATGAGTTGCTACCCATTGCATTCTTCATATCTTTTCATGGAATATGGGAGGTCACCATGAGGACTGCATTTGCTGCCCATTGCTACTTGACACTGAACGGAGTGGGAGGGGGCGGTGGGTCTGGAGTTACACAGGCCAGATCAGGTAAGGACGAGTGATTTCTTTCCCTAAAAGGACATCAGTGAACCAGACGGGCTTTTATAACAATCATCTGCGTCTAACTTTGAATCCCACTTTTATGAATTAATTGAATTTAAATTCCACCAGCTGCCTTGGTGATATTTGAACCCAGAGCATTAGTTTGGGCCGCCTCTGTATTAATAGCCTAGTGCCATTACTACTGTAGAGCCATCTAGTAACACACAAACAGGAATACGCCACTCTGTACCTCGAGCATCTTCCACCATTCAAGGAGATTATGGCTGATTTGTGGCCTAACTCCAACTACCTGCCTTTGGCCCATATCCCTTCATACTTTTGCTTAACAAAACATTATCTGTCTCAGATTTAAAACTAACAACTGATCCTGCATCAATTGCCATTTGTGGAAGAGAGTTCCAAACTTCTATAACGCTTTGTGTGTAGAAATGCTTCCTAACATCTCTCCTGAACAATCCAACCCTAATTCTCAGACTATACCCCAGAGTTCTAGAATCCCAAAAACGTGGAAATAGTTTATCTATACTTTCTTCTTAATATCCTGAAGACTCCAGCTGGATCATCCTTTAACCTTCTAAATTCTAGAGAAAACAGACCTAATTTGTGTAATCTCTCCTCATAACTTAATCCCTGAAGTATAGGTACTATTCTTGTAAACCTACATTGTACTTCCTCCAAGGCCAATACATCCTTGCCTAGATCTGTTCACAGTCATCCAAGTGGGGTCTAACCAGGGTTTTATAAAATTGCTGCACAACTTTTGCATCCTTCTACTCCAGTCCTCTAGACATTAATGTCAGCATTCCATTAGCTTTCTTGATTATCTTCTGTACCTGTTTGTTACATTTTAAAGATCTAGGCACCTGAACCACCAAACTTCTATGGACATCCATTGCATTTAACTTCATACCATCTAACCTCACATTTGCTAACATTGAACTCCATTTGCTATCATTTTGCCCATTTATTTAACATTACAAAGGGATATTGATAGATTATGATATCATCTACACTGTCTACAGCAAATTTGTCATCAGCAAATTTGGATATATAACTTTCTATGCCATTATCCAAATCGTTAATAAATCATGTGAATAATTGAGGCCCTAACACACATCCTTGTGGGGCACCACTGGTCACATCTTGCCAGTTTGAGTACCTACCCACTATCCCTACTTTCTGTTGCCTGTCACTCAATCAGTTTCCCAGCCATGTCAATAATTTATTCTCCATTCTCTGGGCTTCTACCTTAGTTAACAGACTCTTACATGGGACTTTATCAAATTCCTTCTGGAAGTCCATATAAACAACATCCATAGACATTCCCTTGTCCACTACCTTAGTCACCTCTTCAAAAAATGTAATGAGGTTTCTCAGGCATGACCTACTTATCATGATTCGATGCCAGCTCTCCCTGATTAACTGAAAATTTTCAAGCAGTTCAGTTACCCTATCCTCAATTTATAGACTCCAATCATTTCCCACCACAAATGTTAGGCTAACTGGTAATAGAGTCATAGAGTAATACAGCATGAAAACAGGCCCTTTGGCCCAAAACTTTAATACCCTGGTCTGTAATTCTCTGGTTTACCTCCTTCATCCTTCTTAAAAACCAGAATGACATGTGCAATTTTTGAATTCAGAGTAACAACTCCTGTATCTGAGGAACTCAAAGATTAAAGTTAGAGTGTTTGCAAAGTGCTCTCTGCTTCAATACCCTCCTATGGTAACTGTCAGGTCCCAGGGATTTGTCATTCTTTAGTTCTATTAATATCCTGATTACAGATGTTTTACTAACATTAATTTTAGTCAGTCCCTGTTCCCAATCCACAATTTCCTCGGACAAGCTATCCTCCTTTTCTACAGTAAGTACTCAGGGAAAGTAATTATTCAACATGTCTGCCGTTTCCCCATAGTCATTGACAACATCCCCACTTTCAGTCTTTAGTGAGTTAACATTGCTCCTGACTACAAACAGAAGTTGCTGAAAAAACTCAGCAGGCCTGGCAGCATCTATGGCCAGAAAGCGTTCTGAAGTAGAGTTACTGGACCCAAAACTTTAACTGGGATTTTTCTCCATAGATGCTAACAGACATACTGTTTTTCCAGTAATTTCTGTTTGTTTCTGATTTCTACAGGTCTTTGTTATTTTCTTAAATTGCTCCTAACCACACTTTCCCTTTAACTGTATCATTTGTTGTTATTGATTTGATGTCCCTGTAAGCTGCTTTGTGTCCCCTAGCTTGTCTTAGTATCTTTCCCATTTAGCAGGATCTGTGTTGCTTTTTTGCATTTTTGTATGCCCTCTGTTAGTTTAATGCTGTCCCTTATCTCTACTTGTCCAGAGCTGTTTCTTTTTCTCTGTGAAGTGGAGCTTTTTCTTCTCAGGGGTATAAACTGGTTCTGTTTTGTGTTAAATGTTTCTTTAAACATCCTCCACTGTTCTTCAGTTGTTTTACCCATTAGCCGATTTTCCCAAATAAAAATGGAAAGAACTGCAGATCATAGATCATAGAATCCCTACAGTATGGAAACGGGCCCTTCGGCCCAACAAGTCCACACCGACACTCAGAGTATCCCAGTCAGACCCATCGGGCAATTTAGCATGGCCAATCCACCTAACCTGCACATCTTTGGACAGTGGAAGGAAACCCAAGTAGACACGGGGAGAATGTGCAAACTCCACACAGACAGTCACCCAAGTGTGGAATCAAACCCGGATCCCTGACGCTGTGAGGCATCAGTGCTAACCACTAAGCCATGCTGGAAATCAGAAACAGAAATTGCTGGAAAAACTCAGCAGGTCTGGCAGCATTTGTGGAATGAAAGCAGAGTTAACATTTCAGGTCCAGTGACCCTTCTTCAGAATTAAACTGCTAGATGCAGTATATTAGGATTTCCAGAAAACATTCAACATGGTAGCACATAAAAGGTTTTGCACAAGACATAAGCTCACAGTATTGGGGATTATATATTAGCATGGATTGAGGAGTGGTTAATATACGGAAGACAAAGAGTCAGGATCAATGGGTCTTTTACATGTTGGAAACATATAACTAGTGGAGTGCTTCAACAATCAGTCCTAGAACTTCAGTTATTTACTACCTACATTGTTGACTTGGAGGAGGGGTAATATTTCCAAATGTGAAGTTATAGAAGTAGTGGGAAGGCATGTTGTGATGAGAACATAACGAATCTGTAAGGGAATATATAATTGGTTTCAGTCTTGGACAAACATTGGGCAGATAGAAAATATAGCAAAGGTCGTGCACTTTGATAGGAAGAATCAAAAAGTAGATTATTTATATGGAGAGAGACTCCAAAAAAAAAAAGCAGCAGAGAGAGATCTAGGTGTTATTGTTCATTGAAACACAAAACGTTAGCATGTGGGTACACGAAGTGATTAAGGCAACAAATGGAATTTTAGCTTTTATTGTTAGTGAGTTTGAGTTTAAAAGTAAGGAAGTCTTGTGACAAACGTACAAGGTATTAGTCAGGCCACACCTGGATTACTGTGTACTGTTTTGATCCCTGGTGGCAGTTCAAAAGTGATTCATTCAGCTGAATCCTGGAGTGAACAGGTTGACTAATTAAGAATGGCCAAACAAGTTAGACCTTCATTCATTGGAATTTAGAAGAATACTGTGTGATCTTATTGAAATATACAAGACTTTAAGGGAGCTTGACAGGGTAGATGTTGAGAAGGTATTTCTTGAGCTACATTTTCATAGTTACAGTATAAGGGTGCGGGGTGGGGGTGGGGGGGGATCATTAATCTAAAACAGAGATGTGAACAAATTTCTTCTCCCAGAGGGTAGTGAGTGTCTGTAATTCTGTACCCCCAGAGTGTTATGGAGGCTAGATCATAGAAAGTACTTAAAGAGCAGGTAGACAGAGTTTTGAAACATCAAGGAGTTGAGGGCTATGAAAGAAGGCTGGGGCAGCCATGATCTTATTGTATGAAGGGCAGGCTTGAGGAACTGAACGCCCTGCTCCAACTTCCTCTGTTCTTACATTCATGCACACCACATCACATGATCATCAGCAAACCTTTCTGTTACCTCTTTTTTAAAAAGAAACCCAAGTTATTTAAACACGATTATCCTTTAAGCTCACGCTGGCTTTTCTTAATTAATCCGCATTTGTCCATGTGATTAATAAATTTGTCCCAAATTATTATTTCTAGAGTTTTCATACAGCACGGAAACAGACCCTTTGGTCCAACTCATCCATGCCAACCAAGTTTCCCAAACTAAACTAGTCCCATTTGTCTGCATTTGGCTCAGACCCTTATAAACCATTCCTGTTCATGTACCTGTCGAAATATCTTTTAAATATTGTAACTGTACATGCATCTACCATTTCCTCTGGCAGTTTGTTCCACATAAGAACCACTGTCTGTGAAAAAGTTGCCCCTCAAATCCCTTTTAAATCTTTCTCCTCTCACCTTAAAATTATGCATCTTGTTTTGATTTTCAGCCATAATTGACGTTAAAGTGACCAGTTTGTAGTTGCTGGGCTTATCTTTACTGTGTCTTATAACCTCACTCTCACACCATGCCTGAGGAAGAAGCTGAGCCTCAAAAGCTTGCGTTTCAAAATAAACCTGTTGGACAAAAACCTGGTGCTGTGTGATTTTTGACCTTATGTGCCAAGCGAAGACTTCAGGATTCATCTTTATGTTAACTGTCAGTCTCCTTTCATGCCACGTCTTTGCTTGTCATTTGTTTTTCATGTCCCTTCTAAAGCTTCTATATAGTGCCTGCTCTCTACTGTATTTCCTCCCAAAATCGATTCTAGACACACTTTGCTTTTTTAAGCTTCATTTCTCGCTTTTTTTTCACCCAGGGAACTCTGGATTTGTTTGTCTTACCTTTCACTTGAGGGAATGTACCTCGTCTGTACTCGAATCATCTCTTCTTTGAAGGTAGACCAGTGCAGCTACTGTTATTCCCACTAACCTTTGACTCCAGTTAAATTCAGCCCAGATCCCTTCTTACCGCCATTGAAGTTGGCTTTACCCTAATTACTTATTCTTCTCTGGATTGCTCATTATCCTTTCCCATTGTCAAGCAGTGCTTCTTTTCCCACTGGGTTGGAGACATACTAGCGCAGAAACTTCTCAAACACATTCAAGGAACTCTTGCCCCCGTGTCTTTTAAACAACTACTATCTAGTTTATATTCAGATATTTAAGTCCCCATTATAACTACTCAATAATCATTTGCACTTAATTTCCTTCTAACTGTAATTCCCTTCTAAGTCAATTCCCCTACATCATTCCCACTAGTTGATGGCCTACAGATTCTAGTGTGTACCACCTACAAGGTGAACTAGGAGTAGCTCATCAAGCCTCTTACAACAGTCCCTTCCAAATCCACAACCTCTACCACCAGAATCATGGAAACATGGCCATTTGCAAGTTCCCTTCCAAGCCACATACCATCTTGACTTGGAACTATATGGACTATAATCGATATTCGTTTATTGTCAATGGATAAAAATCCTGAACTCCCTCCCTAATAGCAGCATAGTTGTCCCTATAGACCAAGGAGTGCTGCAGTTCAAGAAGGCAGCTCACCACCTTCTCCTGGACAATTAGCAGTGGGCAATAAATGCTAAAATAAAAACATTAATCGAAACAATGTATTTGCACCTTTTCTGTTTCTTAGCTCCAGTCAAATCGATATTCTGTCCTTGATCCTTCAGGGGAATCCTCTTTCTCCAGCAGAGCAAAGCTCTCCGTGATACATAGAGCCACCCGTGCCATTCTGTCCTGCCCTGTCTTTCCTGAACATCCTTTGGTAGATCAGTGAAGTCTATCAGCAGCAAACAAAGGAGAGAACTAGCCTGTAAGCAGAGGAGTGGCTTTTCACCATTTCTTTCCGTTCTATTTGCATGAATTTTCCTCAATCTTCACTCCTATTAGTCAACTTTTGCAGCCACTTTCAGAGATAGATCAGCCTGCAGCCCCTGTAGTATTTTGAGTGCTGTGATTATACTCATTGGAGTTTACAAGAATGAGAGGTGATCTTATTGAAACATACAAAATTCTCTGGGGTTTGACAGGATGGATGCTGAGAGAATGTTTCCCTCAAGGGAGAATCTGGGTCTGAGGGCATAGTCTCAAAAGAAGGTCAGACGGTCAACATTGAGATGAGGCAGAATATTTTCTCTGCGGATTATTAATCTTTTGCATTCTCTCCCCCTAGGAAAGCAATGGCGTGTGGGTATAGAACATACTTAAGGTCCAGTTAGACACATTTTTGAATAACAGGAGAATCAAGGAATTGTGGATGGTAGACAGGAAAATTGGAGTTGAGTCCACAATCAAATCTTATTGAATAGCACAGTAATTGCTGTTAATTGTCTAGGAGAAGGTGAGATGCCTTCTTTAACTGCAGCACTCCTTGGTCTATAGGGACAACTATGCTGCTATTAGGGAGGGAGTTCAGGATTTTTATCCATTGACAATAAAGGAATAGCAATATAGTCCATATAGCTCCAAGTCAGGATGATATGTGCCTTGGAGGGGAACTTGCAAGTGGTCATGTTCCCATGATTCTGTTATCTTTGCATTTCTAGGTGGAGTTAAGGCCGCAATCATGATCTTATTGAATAAGAGAATAGGTTCAAGAAGCCAAAGAGAATACTCCTATTTCTTATATAACGGTAATGATTTGATAACAAAATACAAGAGCAGCTATGAGGCGATTTAAATACAAAATTCCAGTTTGCAAATTCATCACTCAGCTGTTACACTTCTCCTGCTGCCTTTGTCACATGAAGGCAGAGTTTTAGATTCCTACCTGCTGGACGACTTCCGATGGCAACTCCATTTTCCACTGTTTCAACTGGCGGGAGGCAAATGAGTGCAGTGCATAGGACATGGAGCCATATTCAATCCACAGCGAGAGATTGGAACTGTCTATCTCCAATGCTCGTTTAAAACAATTCAGAACAGCAACTGAGTGCTTCCAGATAGGCCCATCGCTCTTCAATTCATTTGAATTCAGTTTGTCCTGGATACGACTAGCTCGAGCCAGAGCCATACCTGCCCACGAGTCAAACCTGCAGAATAGAAAAACAAAAATTCAAGTATCAGGAAGTTCATGCTTAAACTGAAGACTCAGAACAATGATTCCATCAGTTAGTTTCTCTTTTAACTATACACTGATTTCTAGCATAACCATAAATAACCTAGTCAACTTATTTATCAATAAAATAAGTGCAGCTTGATCCAACAGTGTTCTTTCTCCTTTCACACTAAAAGGTATCTAGGTCTGAAGGCAGAATTTGATCTTCCCCTCCTTAAATCAATGAAGGACAAAAAGGGCTAAGTTTTCATCTTTAGCATCCGGATGTTAAGCAGGAGCATTGAAAGAAAGATGTGGCAAGTGCAGAAAACAGCAATAACAGAACACAGTTGATTTTTTTTTGCCATTCGGAGAAGAGGACTGCTTGTCCTCAGAAACAAAATGATCCATCACTCAATTCTAATCTACATATTAGAGTCAGCACATACAACAATCTCTCCATTTGAGATAGATCAACATTTCCTATCAGATTTCCCGATGGAGGCAACAGCTGAATGAAACTTTTCATACTCAACTAGCCCATTAGCACATGGAAGGTCCAGGCTAGCTTTGGAAGAAGTGGTACAGCCACAACCTGTCTCAGCCATTTGTCCTAACTCTTATAGTTATGGGTCCTTCCTATCAAAATACAAGATTTTTTTTAGTTTTGGTCTTTTTAAATGCAGTTTGCAAGTAAGTAAGTATAAAAATTCCTCTTCTACCTTAACAGTCCAAAATGCTAATGATCTATTTTTGTTGCTGTGTCAGGATTTCAATAGTGCATTCAAAACCAAACCCCAAGCACCTTTTAAGATAACAAGGCGTAGAGCTGAATGAACACAGCAGGTCAAGCAGCATCAGAGGAGCAGGAATGCTACGTTTTGGGCCTATACCCTTCTTATCCTCCAAGCCACCCGAAGCCTTTTATATAATCAGAGAGAAGAAGCAACACAAGAGCAAGAGCCTCAAATAATGGAGCAAATAAAAGCAGTACTAGGAGTTCCATGGAGACAAATTGATGCTTCATAATTCAAACATGAGATATAACACTGACAGTTCTATGTGTTTAACACTGATTTCCACAACCAACTGAAAATATGGCTTTTTCATTTTCCACCATCAAGCCCAGAATCCAGTTGATAGTATCACTTAATGCTCCAGCATCAATGAACCAAGTGGACATCATTCCAGAAAAGGGACCACAATCAGGTCCCTCCTCATTTCTTTTCAAAAGTAGAAATCTCTTTCCTGGATAGATGCTCATTTATTAAAGTCTGAAAAATTCAAAGACCAGCCTTACGGTTGCCAAATTCAGGGTAGTAATTCTGGCAGATTCTTAAAACCAGGCTTCCACCACCTTCGAAATGTTGGCTACATTTGAAGATATCTTAAAGGTACCTCAGAGATATCTTGGGATTCCAAGACTGACAATGAAAAGACAAATGTTACACCAAACTTTACATTAGACCCAACTGAATTACGAGTTACCATAACCAGTTTTAGCATTTTCAACCATGACCAAGATTATCCCTAAATCTTGCAAACACATGGAAATGACATATCTATCATTGCCCCCCTGCTGGCCCCACCCACCCCACTGTTTAAGGCAGCATTGTAGATACAGCTCACAATTAGTCCAGTAAATCTTCCTAAAAACTACATCTTCCACAGTTTACTTGGTTTAAAGCGGTTTTACACCTTGCCTGACATCAATGTGAAGTTCAGAACCATTGGAAGCCTCTTAAGGAGATAGGGAGCATGGAGAACAGTGTGACCCCCTCCCTTCAGTCTATGCAAGGAGAGGCGCGTTAACCGACTTGTTTATTAGGATGGCACTTCAGGGATACATTCGTGGCAGGCAATCAATTGGGTGACATGAACCATACTGATGGATGCAGGGAAGACATGGCCGGGGTGCACTCAGGTGTGACTGGACGGATGGACGGATGGACGGACGGACGGATTTCCTGAAGATGTTGAGTCTTTTGTATAGGATTAGAAAGTTTTTTTTGAATCATGAGGCATCTAATGACCACTAAACAAGTAGGGCCTTCATACGCTTGGAGTTCACGTAAGTGGAAAGCTCAGGAAATTTATATAGCACCTTTAAAGTAACAAAACACCCAACAGTGCTTCATAGAAGTGTTTTTTGAGGTGCTGTTTTTCAGATGCTCAGATGGACATACAAGATCTCATAAGAGTATAACTTGCAACTCCCCTAAGGAGTTCTCCTGGTTCCCTGGCCAACGGTTGCCTCAAACAATAATGTGACAAGTTATTTGGTCATTCTCTTGATGAACCCTGTTGTAGACATTGTTATATAGCTCAGACGTAGAAAAGCACTGAAACACTGAAGACATGAAAAGTGCTAAATAAACTGACGTTTTCTTGCTGAGACATGACAGCTAATGCCTTGAGTGCTTAATCATGAGCTCATGTTTATTTTGACATGTTTCAAAACAGAGTGAATGTTTCTGAAGCATAATCCTACAAGACAGGCTTCAGAGGGATACAAGTATCAGGTTAGCAAAATTGTAATGTGCTTAACAGGTCCAGAAGCATGTTTAGGCAACCTATTGATTAATCACGTCCAGTCCTCATTACATCCTCAGTCAAAAGATGAACAAAAGCTGAAGTCCAAGGGCGTAGAGGTGAGAATGACTGCCTTCGACACCTAGACAGTGTGATGACAGTGCGACATTAAGGAGCTCGGGGATATTTTAAGTCAAGTGGGAATAAGGAAGAAAACTCTCCACTTTAGTGGAGTCATACTTGCCACAAAAAAAGATTGTTGTGTTTCTGGAGACTAATCAAATCAGCTCCAGGGTATCACTGTCAGCATTCCACAGGGTAGATATTTTTAATCAACCTGCCCAGGCATGCTATGACACACCTTTGGAATAGGTGGGACTTGAACCTGGGTCTCTTGACTCAGAGATAGCAGCACTACCACTGTGCTTCAAAAGCCTCCATTCCTCAGGGTAGATCTTTTCTGGTCAACCCATTCAGAGATGTTATTACACACCCCTGGAGCAGTTGGGATTTGAACTTAGGCCTCCTGGTTCAGAGATAGGGACACTACTATTGCACCATAAGAGCCCGCATTCCTCACAGAAGTGTCCTAGGTCCAACTATTTTCAATGATTCATCAATCACCTAAAAATGAGATGGTAACTGCTGTGATATACAAGGTGTAGAGCTGGATGAACACAACAGGCCAAGCAGCATCAGAGGAGCAGGGAGGCTGATGTTTCGGGCCTAGACCCTTCTTCATTGCAACTCCTGAGATACTGAAATAGTCCATACCCATGTTCCAGTAGGGCTGGACGACCTACTCCTGCTCCTAGTTCTTATGTTCTAACATTCAGCTTCAGACTGTTAAGTGGCAAGTGAACCTTCATGTTACAGAAGTGCCACAAAATGGCCAACGGCAAGAAAGAATCCAACTTTAAGCCCTTAAAATTCAACAGCATTGGAATCACTGAATTCATCCATCATCAATATGGCGGGGTTTAATATGGATCAGAAACATAACTGGAGTAACCCTATAAATACTATAGCTACAACAGCAGGGCAAAGAAGGAGTAGTCTGCAGTGAGTAACTCACCTAATTCCCCAAACACTTTCCGCTAGTTATAAGGCACAAGTCCCCTTGTACTATAATACCTTTGATATCTGTAACTTCCGCCGCCAAAAAGGACAAAGGCAGTAGATGGATCGAAACACCATCTCCTGCAGGTGACCCTCCATGCCATACACCATCCTATCCTGGCAAACTGTCTCTAGTCCTTCACTGTTTCTGGGCCTAAATCTATTCAATGGTCCATCAAGGGAGTACCTGCCACTCAGTGTATGTAGCAGTTCAATTCTAATAATTGTCTATATGTTGAAGAGATGTGGGCATAGCAAAGTACCTCTTTCCATCTTCTCACCCAAACATATCCTTCTATTCCTTTCTCCCTTACATACTTAGAAATATGTTTGGTGCAAAGCTAGCTATGTTATTTGCCTTCAACGCTCCATATCATAGCAAGTTTCACATTCTAACCACTTTAAGGAAGAAGTTTTTCCTCTAATAAGGGCACTGCTGATTGTACGTATTTTTATTCAACCTGTTCAAACAGGTTATTGTAGTGATTGTAACCATGGCAGCATGACTTCATAAAATAAGAGTTCCCTGATGGGGGCTGTTAAATTTGGTCCAGTCAGGGAGCCCTCACTGACAAATATAAACAGGAGCTTCAGACATCCTGTTCACTGAGAGCTGGCTCTAAGAGAGCTGGATCAGTGTCAAGGACTTTCCAAGCATAAATAAAGGGTGACTTGGTGACAGGATACCAGCCTTTGTGGAGTTGTTTCAGTTATGTCAAATCTCGGGGAGCTGATGGAACTTCAGAATGTGCGAAAAGACTGATTTTGGTTGCAAGTGACTTCCAAGGCTCATTGGTTCCATGAAATTCAAAAAACCTCTGGCCACACAATAAGAGGACACTACCACCGTGCCACAAGAGCCTTTCAGAGTACATTACTCTGCTTAATTTAATGCTGGTGTAGGAATTAAATAAGGATTCATTTCAGCCTCCTATAAACAGATACATACTGAAACTGTGTTGGTTCCATTCAGAGGTTACTATATACTTGCATTTATTTACATAATGATTGGCTCAGTTCTATCCTTCACCGACCAGCTTTCAAGAATAGAACAGGCACTGAACATCTCCAATATCATGAGCAGATGTTTCAAACCAACTATTGCTAACAGTAAACTATCCTTTTCATTTTACTGCATTACAAAACTTTTCCAGAGCCATTTAAACTCAGCTTAACTCTTACCATAAATACACCATATGGAGTGACAGGTACTCAGCCAAATCCAGCACACACTAATGACCTGTCCAACACTGAGAATCCCACAATGTAATCAATCACAGTTGATTTTCATCTAATACCAATGTAATTAGCAAATCATACCTTGCTGGACAGACACAGATGTCATGCATATAGAATTTTATAGCTTTAGCCTGCTCTTTGTTCTTGAAATGATAATCAGCCAGAAGGTAATACAACTCATTAACAAGAGGAAGTTCAGAATCTGCTCCATCAGGGAGGGCAGGCACCTATGAATTAAATGCAGAAAGAAACCATATCAGATCTGCTTTAAAACAGACTCGAAACTGTCAGTTTCACCAAATAGAATGGCATTCACATGCAGAGACCGAAACATGAATGTAACCAAATAAAACTGGAAATGTAAACTACCAAAATGTAGCTACAAACTGCGACTCATTCAAAGCACTACTGTGTGAACAGAATATTGCAGTTGTCACGGGGATCTTTATCCTTGCCCATGCCCCACATAAAAGGTACTTAGTTTGGGATTTGACTTGGATAAAAATGGTCAGATTTCCAATATCTGTCTTCTATTCATAGTTCTTTACAGAGATTTAAAATGTTCAATAAAAATTAAGGATCCTATCCAGCTGAAAGAGAAAGACACCTCTACACTCCTTGTGAAAGTCCAATTGTTGCAAAACGTTAAACAAAACAACAGAGCCATGATACGAAGCACAGCAAAGAGAAACGTGCAAGATTAGAAAGTTGCCAATGTGAAGAGAAAATAGAATAAATTTTCCAACTAAACTAAAACACAACTTTTAAAGGGAAAATGACAGCATAGACAGGAAGTTGAGTGAAGCACAAAAGGCAAATGATTATTGTATTTTTCAGGCTGCAATAACAGTGGTGTCTCTAGCAATTAGTATTCAAAACATATACGATTTTCAGAAAATAAGGCTAATGAACTGTGAAATGGGCATTCAATATCTTGGAACTTGGAGGAGATTGTTTGAATTGGGCTGATAAATTTCATCTGCTGTCAAAAGCAGATAAATGTGAGGTGGTAAATACAAGGAAAAATACAGAATAGAAACCATATATTACAGCATAAACATTTAGGCGACTGAGCAGAAATGCTTGGTCAATCAGATAGTGTTGGAAGAAAAAGTTGATAAAAATGAAATACCAAATTTTAGAAGCATTGGTATAGGAATCACACATAAACCTAATGTCACTGTGAAACTCTGTTTACACACATGCTACTTGACCAGGGAATACGTCTTACTGAACTTAATCTTAGATTCTCTTTTATTTTGTACAGTGTGGGCAACTGTAACAGTCAAGAGCAGTAGCCAGTTGACCCATCCTTCTCTAACCCAGATATAAAGAGGAGCATACAATTACTCTGCTCTAGGTCAGCTGACAGTTCAGAAATCAAAATCTTTATATTCTCAAATCGTTTAGCTCAGTAATGCATAACATGGTGTAATTTGTACATATCAGATTATGTAATTTCTCATTTTAATAAGAAACTGTTTACTTGAAACTCTGAAATTTAACCTTTGACAATTCCACTGAAAGCAGTACTGCCATTACCATGTCAACAGATCCTTCAATATAGGCTGTTACGCTCTCTATTGAGAGAGGTAGGTTATCCTCATCTCGATCTATCGCAGCAATCTTCTTCAAAAGGTTTGCCAGATCTGCAGACACAGTGCTGGTCTTGTAGCTGTCAAATTCTGGGTAATTCTTGGGCTTGAAATAGTCAAACATAAATTCTGCATCACTCCAACCAAGCTCCACCTATAATTCAAACAGAGGGGGAGAAATGATCATTAATGTTAAGCCACCAGACATTGTTTGAAGAACATCCACCAGGAAGGAAGGTAGAGAAATACAACATAACTGTCCCTGTGGAGAACTGTCTGGCTCCTGCTTGGTGTCGCCAAGGGTAATGATTCAAAGAGTGGAGGATTGCAGCTAGTTATTGTGAGGGCCAAAGGCTTTGATCCCCAATTTCATGGAACCCATAAGCCTTGGCAGTCACTTGCAACCAAAATCAGTCTTTTCATTCATTTTCAGGTACCTCAAGTTGTTGATAACAACAGATCTAGGATGCTTTCATGAACAGGACTTAAAAAAAAAAGCCTTTTTCCAACTTTCAAATTTAAATTTTACCCACATGGATAGACTGCTAACAAATCCAAGTGCAAAAAGAATGGAGAATAGTTTCAAGGTTGCATATAACACAGGTATCAGTTTCAATACTCCTTGTTTATACTGTTAAATCCTTAAGTGTTCAGCCATAAACCCAGTGGCTCAGTGTTAGTACTGTTGCCACACAGCGCCAGGGACCCGGGCTCAATTCCACCCTCGGGCCACTGTCTGTGTGGAGTTTGCACATTCTCCCGTGTCTGTGTGGGTTTCCTCCCGGTGCTCCACTTTCCTCCCACAGTCCAAAGATGTGCAGGTTAGATGGAGTGGCCACGCTAAATTTCTCATAGTGTCTGGGGATGTGCAGGCTAGGTGAATTAGCCACAGGAAATGCAGGGTTACCAGGAAGGGGGGTGTCTGGGTGGGATACTCTTTGGGGAGTCGGTGTGGATTCGATGGGCTGTATGGCCTACTGCCACACTATAGGGATTCTATGAAACTCACTATGGCCTATATATATGAACTTTAACAAAAATATAACATTCTTCTCTCCAATTCATTATTAACTTAAAAGTAATTGACTTGTATTCACCAAACACACCACAGACAGAATGCAGAGTTGTTAAGATGCAGGAAGAGGCTTTTTGACACATTGTGGACATTTGGAAAGCTATTCCAGGATAATCAGTACTCATGGACTAATTTCACAGCTCAGTGCAAAGTTTTCTGGTACTGTTTTCTCCATGATAAAACATCTTGCTTTACCTAGCTTGTAACATGAAGTGTGTTCATAACTACATACCTGCTGAGCAGAGTGCTCTTCCAGATACCTGGCCTTACTCTTCTTGCTAGGATAGGCATATAAACAGTAAAAGCACTGCTCAAGGGCAGTCTCCAGCTCTTCTTTAAAGGGGTGGGCATCTTCAGGTCTTGATGCAGACAGTTCCTTCTGAAGCACTCGAACCTAGTAAGAAAAGCATATTTCTCAACAGTAAACCTAGTAACATATTAAAACCCATTGTATAAATAAGGCCACTCCACCCAACTGGTCTATTCCAAACTCAGTTTAAAGTTTGGGTCGAAAAAAAGCAAACAAGCAGCTCTGCAAGATTTAAGGAAGTAACAATTTTACTGCAAATCTGAGACAAGATTGCAAATTAGACAAATTCACTCACAAAGGGGATGAACAGGACAGATGAGGTAAACCATTGTTTAGGAATATCATAGGTAGAAAATATACCAAAAGAAAAAATAGGTCTGTGGATCAAGATTCTAAATCATAAGGTAAACAAGGTGATTTTTAAACAGATCTCTTGGTTTCTGGCAATGATACCACGTTGCAGGTTACACTCAAGATCTCCAAAGGCCTGTAAGCAAGCCAGCTCATACCCTCCATCTGAGCAGAAATGGAATAAAACTAAAATGTTCCGCAGAAAGGGAAAAACTTTTAACTCCAGCCAAGACCTACTGACCAACTACCGAATTGAGGATCACCACAGTAGGGAACGTGATATTGTCACCTTATTTTCCCTTGCGATTTAGACTCAATCCAAAGATTTGATTCCATTTTCCCAGTATTTTCGACCCACCATACTCTTTAACAACTGTTATTCTCATCTGTCATGTCTGTCCTATTTGTGAATAAATGTGTTCAAGTTTGAATTTAAAGACGGCATAATTTAGGCTTGCCAATTAATCATCCATTTTGCCACATGTTGAACCATAAGTTTACTATAATTAATAATTTTTTTGCTTTGTCTTTTATTTTAGTTAATGGTCATAGTCAAGCAAACTAATGATCCCTGCAATTAAATTGGTCACATCTGACATTTGTGGTGACACATGGAATAGCGAGGCCTGATTTTCGGCGCACTCTTCCTATCAGGGTCGTGGCATGTTCTAAACAAGGTAACTTACATAGAACTTAAGTAACGCTCCATCAGAATTACAGCACCAGGATCTTCGCCCCAGATACTCATGCGCTGTGTTAAGCAACATCAGAGAGGAAGGCAGCATTGGAGTTTCAGAATCTACAAAATACAGAAGTGTTAACAGAAACAGAAATGTTCTTGGATAACATTGTTCCCACCATATGCCCATGCCCTCATCCCCTCCAAACTGAACTACAATTCTTTATGAGCTCCATCCCATCCTTTTTCTCCTTTCATAAACTCCAGACCATGCAAAATTTTGCTCCTTGTAGCCCGACCCACACCACGCCACTTGTCCAAGAGCTATGGAGTCCAATGAGGACAAGTGGGAGGTCTTCTACTTTGGGTCCAGGAAAAATAGGCCAGAAGTATTTTCTAAATGTTGAGAAGCTCAGAACTTGAAAAGAACAGGTGTGCAGAGGAGAAATTTGCTGTAAAGAGACCCATGAATCAATCACTAAAAATTAGTGTATACACACACATACCCAGGGACTGGACCTAAAGTGCTGAAGTGATGCTATAGTTAGATAATGTTCTAGCTAGACTCTATCCAGAGCACTGAGTTTAGCATTGGAGTCCACACCTCAGGAAGGTGATGGTGACATGGAGTGAGCAGTTCTGATGTATCCAAACAATGCAATTATTAAAAAAGGTAACACAGACACAAAGTTTGTATTCTCTGGAGTATAGGGGGTTAAAGAGTAATTTGATAAAGAAGTTTGTGAAAGGATACAATAAATAGAGGGAATATTTTTTGCTGGTGGAAGACCAGACAAGAAGATAATCTTATAAATTTAGGGCAAGGTGTTTTATGGTTGATGTCACACATGTTCTTGCCATATTAGTGGAAACCAGGAACTCTAAAACAAAAGACTGAGAGCACTGGGGTCCAGTTGAAAATTTCAAAACAGGTTGATAGGGTTTTGTCAGGCAAGGAGAAGAATAAACTGACATAATTCTCAATACTAATATGCAAAATGTATACATGAGGATAATGTATGGAAAAAGGCATTGAAGTCAATGATCAGCCATAAATTGTACTGAACGGTGATGCAGGCTTGACTGGCTAAATGGTCTATTCCCATTTTATTTGACCTCACTGGCTCCTGCTCCTGAACTATATGTAGTCAACATTTGTCAAGCCACACATTAATAAGCATTAGCGATGGGTGAGGATGCTAAGAAAAACCCATGGGAAATCTCAAATTTAAGGAAGCAGATTTTCCTGAAAGTCAACAAGAAACCAACAGGCAGAGAAATCAACCACATTGGTGTATCTGTATCTGGGGACAAATAGCACTGCATATCATCTGTATTCACCATAGAACACTGCCAGCAAGTTAAAGCAGTGCCTTCAATGCTTGTATAGTTTCCTTAAACAAACAACACTGAAACATAGCTCAATATACAAAACAGTTCACCACTTCTTTTAAAAGCCGACAGCACTTGGAAGATAAAACAGAATAATATTATTAGCACGCCTAAACATTGCAAAATACTGCACTGAATTTCTTTTATCCCCAAACCAGAGAGCAACACTGACCAGAGTCTTCACTTTTACAATGCTGGCGGCGAAGAGTGTCAAACTCCTCCTCCTCATGCTTTATGATCCTGTACAAGGTGATCCAAGGCAGCACTGATGACACAGTCGGCTCTTTGGAATCTTCAGACACCCCCATGCTACAGTCAATGATCTACAACACAGAGACACAAGGATTTTTTTCAAACTTTTACAGGAATTTTAAACAGAAATAATTTGCTGTTTGTCAGTGTTAATAATTTCAACTGCTGGTAATACTGGACAAATCAAATTCCAGAGTAAAACTTGGCGTAACAGATAAGTTTCTTTCCTTCAGAGATACACAGACCAACCCACTGACCTTTCTTCAGTGAACTCAAAGAAAATAGATTACTAAAACAGCTCAAGATTTATTTTCAGTTCCAATGGCCTGGAAACTACCAAAACTTATTACCCTTCTGCTGATATGGATCTTTTATGGATGTTATCTCTGATCTAGATCTGTTTGCAGCTCCTCCTCCACCTGTCTCTTTAGAGGTATATCTTAAATTTCATAGAATCCCTACAGTGTGGAAACAGGCCATTCCGCCCAACAAGTCCACACCAACTCTCCAAACATCATCCCACCCAGACATATAACCCTAGCGGATCCCTGTAACCTTGCATTTCCCATGGCTAATCCATCTAACTTACATATCCCTGAACACTATGGTCAATTTAGTATTTAGTAAACACTTCAGCTATTAGCCCATCAAGTGGTTTGTTTGTTCATTGAGTTTAAATCACATGACTTTTTGGTATGCTGTTTTGACCCAATGCTTATAAAGCGTTTTCTGGCACTTAAAAAAGACAAGTCACCTCCACAGAACTAAAGACCAGAAACCCATTTACTTCAACTTTACAATCCAAGTTTCCAGGTAATACTACATTGGAAACCTGCATCACAATAACCAGTAGGCTGTATAAAAGATAGGGTGACTAATGGGTACATATAATAAACTTATAAAAACAGTAAATATCAAAACCAGTTATTAGTTACTTTACCTCAGTATTACCCAGAGAGATGAATACACCATAACATCTAGACAGGTTAACACAATGGACGTAACATTGCATTTTTATTATCTCTCCTTGAAAAAGGCATTTCAGAAAGAAACACAGGAGATAATTGATGGGTTTCTTTTCTTGTTAACCTTTTGCAACTGTACTTACTCAAGTTAAGAAGGAAGTGGCAGAGTCTATACAAATAATATGCAAATGTATTCACATAAATAACATACATGGATTGTAGATACATTCATTGGAAGGATAGGGAATATCCATAAGACTGAGGGGCAGGTAATAAGATTTTAATAGTTAAAAATGAAAGGGGGAACAAGTTCAGGAAACTATAGACCAATTTGTTTACCATCATAGAGAAGACTGACAATGGAATCTTTTTTTAAGCATGTAATAGAGAAACACCTGGAAATTAAAAATACAATGAAGGGTAGTCATAGTAACTTCTAGAGGGAAGGTGTTGCTTAACCAATGTCACTGCGTTATTTGAATTAATAGCAAGATTAGTAAGGGGAACAAGGGTTATGGGAGAAGGCAAGATATTGGGGTTGAGAAACATATCAGCTATGATCGAATGGTCGAGCAGATTCAATGGGCCGAATGTCCCAATTCTGCTCCTATATCTTGTGGTCTTATGGCCTAGAAGTGAGAGATGAGGGTAATGCAGGCATAACATACTTGGGTTCTCTCTTTTAAACCTTAGGATGTAGGCCATCAGGCCCTGCAGATTTATCAGCTTTAGTGCTTGGAGTTTCTGCTGATATCCCCTTAATTTCCTGACCCTTCTGACTCTACAGGTTATCATCTATTTCTGGTATATAACCTGTGTCTCTACTATGCACACAAACAAAATGCTTGGACAATGTCTACCATTTCCTCATTTCACATGATAATTTATTTTTTCCCCTGCTTCTAAGGGACAAATGTTTACTTTAGCTACTCATTTCCTTTTTACAAGTTGTTTTTATATCTCTAGCTAATTTAGATTCAGGTTTTTCTCCCCCCTTGTTATCAATGTTTCGGTGGTCCTTTGTAGGTTTCTAAAATGCTACAAATCCTCAAATTTGCAAAGAATAGTTGCAAGTCTATGTCTCTTATTTTTAACCTAATCTAGCCTTGACCTCCTTCATAAGGCAAGGATGGGTCTTTCTCTCTCAGTTCTTGCTTTTCAATTGAATACATTTTTGTTGAATGTTTTGACTTGCTCTGACTGTTTATTTAAAACCATACCATTTTGCCTACGTGTCTAATCAACCTTAGCCAACTCCTTACCTCTACACGTACAATCAGCTTTGTATATATTTAAGATTCTTGCTTTGGATTGGAGTACGTTACTTTCAAATTTAACATGGAATTCTATTGTATTACAATCTCTATTGTCTAGTAAATCTTTTACAATGAGACTACCAATTAACCCCAAGTTATTTCACAATGCTGGATTTAAAATACCTTTATCCCCATGTTGTTTCCAAAATATATTGCTCCAGTAAATTGTCACAAAAGTATTCTACAAATTCATATTGCAGACCACCTTTGTTAATTTGATTGGCCTATTTGTACAATAAAAGTCTCCTACAACTGTTAAATTTCCTTTGTTACAAGCTCCAATAATTTATTCTTTAATGTTTTGTCTTATAATCTACCTCCACCAGTGTGTTCTGACTATCACTAATCCTGATCTCAACCTAAAATGATTCTATTTTATGATCTCTGAGCCAACTCAGGTTCTTGCGTCATTCTTAACTATTAAGGCTATCCTTCCTCTCCATCTTTTTCTATTCTGAGTTTTCAAAATTTATCTACCCTGGAATATTTATTGCCCAAACTTGTTCATAACTGCATCGCCATCACAGCAATTAGATCTAAACTACTCAATGCCACTTGCAGCATGTATTGCAGATGTTTTGCACATTCAGACAAAGAACTTATTTTTAATTATTATTCTTCACATGACCATACTCGCTAATGCATAATTACAATTAGACTCTATCCTTTCCTGTCCCACCTATTTGCTTTTACCCCCAATATGACTCTGTTCTATTGCCTCAACTGTTCTCTTTAGACTTACAAGTCTCCCTTCACCTAAAGCCGAGTTACATGATTTGCCAGGACATTGGGCTCAAGCCTGGTTTAAGTTGACAATGTTCCAAGAAAAGGGCTCTCTCTTTCCTGAGCACTGTCAGCAGCGTACCATAAATCAAAACTCGAGTTCTAGCATCACTCTTCGAGCTATGCATTTATTCTCCAGTCTGTAACCTTGTGGCAATGGCTTTATGACTCAGTTAATAATCCAGAGTGGCTCAGTGATTAGCACTGCTGCCTCACAGCACCAGCAGCTCAGGTTAGATTCCACTCTCGGATGACTGTCTGTGTGGACTTTGCACATTCTCCCCATGTCTGCGTGGGTTTCCTCCAGGTGCTCTGGTTTCCTCCCACAGTTCAAAAATGTGCAGGTTAGGTGAATTGACCATGCTAAATTGCCTTTAGTGTTCAGGAATGTGTAGATTAGGTGGATTACAGGAGGGTGGGATGCTCTGAGGTTCGGTGTGGACTTATTGGGCCGAAGGGCCTGTTTCCACAGTGTAGGGATTCTATTTCTATGTCTACCACCTTTGAGGCTCTGTATTTTACTTTGGACCTTACTCGCTCCTCCTTCCCCACCAACACCAACAACACCACCACCACCACCACCACCACCATCCCATCTTCATCCCCCGATCCCCACTCCCCACCACCCCAATTGCAGAATATCACCGAGTTATGTATTGTAAACTTATTAATGCATGGGATGAAGTTTTCTAAGTGGACCACGAGAATTGGATTCAACTTTCCTACTCCATTTCCAATCCTACGAGAAATGCTTGAACATGACACAAAGACAAATTGCTGGAGAAACTCAGCAGGTTTGGCAGCATCTGTGGAGAGAAAACAGAGTTAACACTTCGAGTCCAGTGACACTTCTTCTGAACAGAGTTTTTCCAGCAATTTCTGTTTTAGTTTCAGATTTCCAGTATCTGCAGTTCTTTGTTTTATTTTAGTCCTTAACCACAACTATTGGCAGTCAACACAACCTTCAGAGGTCACCTGCGTAAAAACTTACTTGTTCCCCTGACCATACTATCCGCATTATTACCACATCTCTTTTCATTCCCTCAACTTCAATGGCTTTGCTCATCCATCCTGAAGTCTTTTTTCTCAAACACACAGGTAGCAAGTACCTCTTGCTAGCTGGTCAAATGTGCAGGCTCCTCGAGCTCTAATGCTAGATCTCCCCAACCCTGCAGTAACTGCGTCTTGCACTAAATTCCTAACCTTGCACTGAGTTAACAAAGGGTTCCTCCCAGATCACTGCACACCCTCACACTAAAAAAAATACATTTATATGGCATTTTTAAATCTCAAACTGCTGCGTAATCAGTTAAGTTTTATTTAAAATGAGATGCAATTACAGTCATGTCAAAAATGAGACAACCAATTTACACACAGCAAACTCCCACAAACAACAAAATAACAATGACCAGGTAATTGATCTTTTTATGGTGATTCAGGGAGAAAAGTTAACCAGGATATGGGGAATAACTCTTAATTGTCTCCAATACAGCACCATCCACGTGAGCAGGTAGACTGGGGACTCTACTTGAGTCTCACCTGCAACCGCAGACAGTGCGGCACTCTGTACCGCACTGCAGTGGCTGCTTATTGGCCAACCTAAGCAACTGATACATTTTGGTTATCCTTCTGCCTTTTTCCTTTTCTTTCAAAAGCAACAGAACTATGAAGTAAACTACCATGTGTATACGTATCATACTTTGGCCTACACTGTGTTAAGATAAGCTTCTAATTGATGATATGATTGTAGAATGCCATGTTGAATGTGGTGCACCTCCTTACCTGGATGAGATTGTTGGCGAATCTGACAAAACAAGGATTCACACACTGCTCTTCCAGGATACTGTTATCGCCAGATAAGGAATAATCAATTCCAGTCAACAGCTGAGTCACTGTTGAAACCCATTCTTCCTTAGAGGATGTGGATGATACATTATTCATCTGTTGAATGGCTTCATTTAGCGCAACTTCAGAACACTCCAAACACTGCCTGTAATCTTTTAGCTTGAGCAGGGAGTCCTGACAAAAAGTGACAGAAAGTTTTAGAAGTCATTGATCAAATCTAGACTCAGTTCTTTGTGGGCAGGAAAGGGAATTTTTCCATCCTGATTTGATCATCTACAGTTAGTATGAATGCAAATAGCAATACACATTAAAGTACGAGTACTCAAGCAAGAAGGGTCGATAAACTGCTTGAATGAAAAAATCAGTATAGCTCTACAGTACAGTGTTAATTCCACATATCAATTTGTTTCTGTAATTATTGTATAATATCAGCTCTAAAAGTTACATCCAGAATACTGAACAAAAAAAGTGTACTGCCACCATGTTGTCAGCATGGAACTCAGTGAAAACTGTGCTGATCCACATAAATGACTTGTTCCATTCTCAGATTCAAAATTTATCCAAAACTTCATGATCTAACAGGACTCTGCAGCACTTGAACTAAGACCCAGACAGGGCCAATTTCTCTGCAAAGGCTAGTTCCCAAATGCACACAAAAGTCTATCTTCTGTCCAGGGCTAAACTGGTACAGATCTATACTATATATTGGGTAGCAGTGAGAAAAAAAAGAGGCTGGATACAAATTCGTAAAATGGGTTTACAGTGATGATAGCTTGGACAGAAATGCTAAGCAATGACCTGCTTGCTGACCATCTAACATAAATACATTCAAAATGTTACTGGTGAAATATTAGGATTACCTGCAACAGGAGAAGCTGAGCAGGCCGTTCAGGGATGGATGCAACAAACTCCAGGGGTTTTGTTCTGCCAATCGTACCAAGGGTTAATGTGGGTCGCAGCAGCTTCACAACTTGGTCATATTCACCCATTTCATACAGGCGCTGAACCTCCTCAAGAGACTGGCACCTCTCCAGTGATTTGAGTTTTTTATCAATCTGGCAAAGAAGAAAAGCAAACACAGTACTTTTAAACACATGAGAAGTTGCAGGAGGACCAGTGAAGGAGACACAAGGTTCAGACTATAAGATCCTGCAAATATTGCAATAAAAAATACTGCACATTTTATAGACTACTAAATCTTAGTAGGTAAAAATATTTCAATGGTAAAAATTTTCCATTTAGCATTGCTGAAGATTACGGAAGCAGATTTTAAAAGTTCTGCCGTCATCTCCCATGATTTATGGTACAGGAGAACAACTAGCATGTTAAGACAGAGTTATGAAATGTGGATGTAGAATCACAATGTGCAACAAAGCACAACCCAATCTCTGCCAGGCCCTTAAAATTCTGTCTCTCCTCTTTGCAGATACTGAGTTCTTCCACTATTTTCTGATTATATTTCAGATTTTCACCATCCATAGTAATTTGCTTTTGAGTCAGTTAGATTCCGGAATTGGATTGTTAAATGCGCTCCATACAGTTAATGAATAGATATAGGGCTGTGCCACAGTGGATGGTGAGAGTCAAAGGAGTTTGGGCAGAGATGTGTTTTGGACAGTTAAAACGGTATTCGGATGAGTACGTGAATAGGAAGGGTTGAGAGATATGGGCCAAATGCTGGTAAATGGGACTAGATTAATTTAGGATATCTGATTAGCATGAACAAGTTGGACCGAAGGGTCATTTTCCGTGTTGTACAACTCCATGACTCTATAATGATAGCCTGAGACAGGCAAATTCTGGGAGTTGACTGTGGTCAAGTGAAAAACCTGATGCTGTCAAATTGAAGAATTCCAAGTAGAGGCTCATACTCAGAATTAAATGAGGTCGCTGAGGCAGAAGTTAATCTCCAAATGCTTTGCTTTAGTGTTTGGTCTTCCCATGAATCTGCATGAATATTGACAAGGGAAGATGATGCATAAGATTATATCAATTAATAAAAATGTATATTTATGCTCTGCTGGATTGAGTTGGTTTTTTTTGTTCTTCTTTGCAAATCTGTTCAGAAATAAAAAGAAACTGTTTGTATTAACAGTTTCACTTATATATCCAACTGAGCAAAATCTGTTGGGGATGGCTGGGTGAAAAGGGCAGTTAGAGAAATCAGCCCAGGCCATTGAATGCCAAACAGATATCTCAATGAATGGCAATAATAATGTTTATAGTCTGGCACAGGCTGAAAGGAATATCTATTGTCTTGGCAGGGAGAAGTATAAGATAGCACATAGACAATGAAGTAGTGAGGCATACTGTTACTTCATCAAATGCATAGAAAGCAAGGAATTTTTTCCTGCTTTTGTTACTTAATATTTTCACTTAAAATATTAAAATGTCTGTACCTCCTCCAATGATATGGCAGAATCCACATGTAGATTTGGTAGTCTGATAGTAAAACCATCACTATTCCTGCTGCCCACTTTAATTCCTAATGAACTGCAAAACAAACTAGTGCAGATATCATAGCTCTCCAGAGCTTGCTCCATATCACCCTGTGAAAAAATATATTGAAACATATTACCAGCAGATGGGGAGAAAAGGCACAAGAGTTTATACCCTCATATGCATGACTCTATTCGAACTAATCATTCACTACCCTCAATAAAGGCTGCAAATTAACTCAGTTCTGAGGAGGTACAATTTCATAGCACACTCCTCCTCAATTTAAAATTATTCATAGCAATTAGATACACACTCACAGATATATTGTAGGAAGTTGTACGCTACTACTGGTCTGCACAATATCTGATCCAACAGATCACAATTATAGATAACAAGGCAGATAACAAGAAGGACCCTTTTTTCTGAAGAAGGGTCCAGACCCGAAACGTCAGCTTTCCTGTGCCTCTGATGCTGTTTGGCCTGCTGTGTTCATCCAGCTCCACACCTTGTTATCTCAGATTCTCCAGCATCTGTAGAGGGTCCTACTACCCCCAGATCACAATTATAACTCTGATAGCATGAAAGGAGAAAAGCACTGCATTTCCCAATATGGATAACAATTCAGGCTACCAAGTCCAGAAGTCTGTGTTCAAAGGAAAAAGGCATTTTGCATTGCAGAATTTCTCCTTTGCACCACAATTTACAACCTTGCACGAATTGATAGGACAAATGCCACACCATTAGCAATAACCCATCATCGTGATTTTCTAGACATATAAGCTATCCACCATAAGATGTTGATAAATACCACAATCAGAACTTGGCATTCAAGCTAAAGCTAAGTGGCATATTTATCAGATTGATTCCATAGCAGCATAAGAAATGACCGTTACAATAGTTAACATTCAACACAAAATTATATGGTCAAAGAGTTTGGTCACCTCAACCTGCAAAATACAAATTCAAACATTATTATCCAGAATTCATAATTTGAGATGAAATTAGTGATCATGTAGAATACATTGATTAATCAATAACAGCCAGCATGGTATTTCTGCCTCAGATTGGAAGCAGTATACAACAGTTGGCAAATTATTTAAGTATTAGGAATTGATACTCTCATTCAAGCAACATCAACACAAATACAAACCTGCAATGCCATAAATCTGGCTTTCAACCAGTAAACTTGAACCACAAAAACCAGCCAGTCATTCTCAAAGAGGTCCTTCTGTGAGGAAGTGAAGGCCAATTGAATCAGATCTCCTAAATAATGGCTGCCTGGAAAGTCAGGTCCTAACTGTGCCACCATGTTGCTGGAAGAACATTTTCGAGGGGAAACTGGAAAAAAGAAACCAAACAGATTAAATGCACACAGAAGGTAGTTTCCCTCTACACGTGTAAGTGAGAAGTGATTTTCCTAAGTGCCACCAGCAGAAAGCCTTCCTAATCAAAATTATGGGGCCTATTTTAAATATTTCACATAGGTTACACTCAACAAGAACACTGCAATCAGTAATGCAGACAATGATTTTTTTGATGAAAAGGGGTAAAAATATTAATTTAAACTAAACGGGATTAATAGTTAAGATTTTGCACGAGAATTCTTGTGACCATTACATCAGCTAAGGAGGGGTTGCCAATTAAAAACAACTGGAAGCCAGCATGTAAAAGAGGGAAACTAAATCAAACCACAAATACGCTGGAATCAACAGATAAGCAGACACAGAACAGAATACACAACCTAGTTAGAGTCAGCTGAATGTTATGGTGTGGTGGGGGGGGGGGTCAGATTGAAGCGTCAATAACGTGACAGATTCATAACAAGTGTGACCAGCTTGGAACAGGATGGTTTGCTAAATGCCTATTACACAAAAACACAGTTATTGGAGACAAGGGACATTTCTCAAAACAGACAAGTGTTGTCCCACAGGGATCAGGTCTGAAATCATCGCTATTCATCACATACCTGTAGTTTCTGAGTCCACATCATTATGTATGATAGCAAAATTTGAAGATGATACAAAATTAGGGGGATATAACTGATACATGAAGGACTAAAAGATGAGCATGAAAATGAGCTAGTGTTTCAAACTAAATTTTATATAGCAAAGTATATTAGGAGGAATAAGATTACTTATTCTTAGAAGAAAAGAAAATAAATGTTGCAGAAGAGAAAAAGAATTTGAGTAGAGATATGTAAATCATTAAACATAGTAATGTAAACTAATATGGCACAAATAAAAGTTTTATTTAATTTTAGAAAATTATTATAAAAAAAAGCAGGGAGGTAACTTTGTTTTTTTACAGGGCTTCCCAAACTGTGGGTCGAGAACCCAAGAGGGGCTGAGAGACAGGATTCTGGGGTCGCAAGCACCCAGCCAATAATAACTGCAACACATCTCCAGTTAAGTGTTACCAGCTGTGAGGTCCCTTTAAATCCTCACTTCGTATGATGGGTGCAGCCTAATTAGCCACTCATTTAGAATTGCTCCAAAACAGCCAGGGAAAAGATTGGTGAAACGTCAGCCTTCCTGCTCCTCTGATGCTGCTTGGCCTGCTGTCTTCATCCAACTCTACACCTTGTTACCAGAAGATTAAACACTAGCCTCCCTCCCTGGCCTCACGGCTTTGCACTCCAATTTCAGATTTGTAATGAACAACTGATGTACGATCAATTGCTATTTGCAGCAGAGAGTTCCACTGTTCAAATGTCCTGCGTGGGTAGAAGGGTCTCCTAATTTTACGCCAAAAAGATGTGGCCCTAATTTTACGCCAAAAAGATGTGGCTCTAATTTCTGGAGTGGCCGCCCTGGTCCTAGACTCCCTAACTTATGGAAATAGTGTTTCTCCTGGCCTATACCCCTAATACCTTGACAAAAACCCCTCACATTCTATTTAACATACACAACCTTTCTCTTAGAGATAGCAAGAACTGCAGAAGCTGGAGTCAGAGATAACATAGTGTGGAGCCGGAGGAACACAGCAAGCCAGGCAGCATCAGAGGAGCAGGAAAGCTGATGTTTTGGGTTGGGGACCTTTCTTCAGGGTCCCAACCCACAATGTCAACATTCCTGCTCCTGTCAGGCTGCCTGGCCCATTGGGTTCCTCCAATCTTTCACTTAAACGTCTTTTGATTTCTTTGAAATATTGCCTTAATTTTTCATGTTCAATTCTGATGAAAGGCTCAGACCAGAGAGTTCAAAAATAAAGTCTTTTCAGTTTATACATACAGATTGACTTGTTTTTTTTAAAAATTGTGCCTGGTTTTTATTACATATCGGAAGCATTGGCAGCTTTTTTCTTAAAAGCATGCAATGAAATGATCCTTAAAGTTATTAACAATTTAGTGTTTGAAGGGACTAACATCAACTTATGCAATGTAAAGTTCAAACCTGTTCAGACCCCTTAAGGGATGCAACCTGCCAGTTTTCAAGATATGTTGCAGTAGTACACATTACATTTTTCTTAAGAATCCTCCTTTTTGCTTGGGGATAAGGATGGAGAAAGCGTAAGAAACCTGCAGCTTCTCGGTTAAAGGGAACACCACATAGCTGACATTTCTGCTAAGTAGATGGTTCACCAGCAGTTCTTTTGACAGTGCCAAAAAACCTGTTGCCTTGAAGTTCATTTGAAGATGCAGCATTTTTATGGCACCTGGCATATCTTTTGAATATCCCAAGGATTTACCACTAAAGTGCAGACACAAATATAAACAATCATGACTGCCATGGAGCAACATTGCACAAACTTGAACTTTACTCATTTAGTCATTGGTTCTGGCTCAGTTGGCTAAACGACTGTTTTGCGATGCAGGTGGCCAAGTTACACTAATTGGTCAAGTTTTCACATACATGCTAAAGAGATTCATGTCTGATTAAAAAGGTGGCCATTTTGGACAGTAGTTTTATTGATTGGAATGAATGAAAGCACAAAGATAATTTGAAGTGACACTAAAACAAGTAAAATTCAATAGTTGACAAGAAACAACTGTTTGTCTTCAGAAAAACACTGCACATTTGAAGTAAGTGCTTCTTACCTGTGGTACTTTTGGACTTTGTCAGAAGCCACTGATCAAGCTGTAGTTCCATGCACACTAAGCACATCACCATCATGTCCTGAAGAAATGAGAACAAAGTATTCTGAGCATTCAGAAGTACAGTGAGCCTTAATATTCTAAGGAGAGTGAAATACCAACTGAGAACTGAACAAGCAGGATAGTTATTTTTGCAAATGTTCAACTAAAAAGACAATTTCAATTGTGCATTCCATTTGTCTGAAGCTAACTATCCTCAGAAAAACACGTTCCATCACACAAAGTACTTTTCCAAACGTTATTATTCCAACTTTATTCCTTTTCAGCAGGTGTCAGAAAGATAGAGCTTGGGATCATAGTTGCTATCAAATGAAGATATTCCTAATTAAAAGTTAAGGCAGTTACTGAACTGCATTATAATCAAGGACAGATTAGCTGTGGTTGCCACCAAGATCCCATAAACTACTGGCATTCACTGTCCAAGCTGATTACAGAAGAATGGGTGAGGTACTGGAGGATAAGTGGCACCTATGAAATCTTAATACAGTGTGAGACACAGTCTTCAGTGTGTAAGAAAACTCAAAGGTGAGTGAGCACCTACCCAGAGCAGTGATTTTCAAACTTTGACAGACTTTATACAGGGGCTAAAAATAAAATCAAAATAAACCAGAAAAATACATTTTTCCTGCTGCATTCAGAACTCTGCTTCAGTAGTTTTACATTCTCCTCACCTAGAAGGCTAAATCCCATACACAGAGTATCCTGGGCTATACCAGACCTTCACTGTCCCTTTTTATTAATACAGAGTATTAAAATTTCACCTGAAACCTGTAACTTAATCAACCCGCAAGATCTACTGCTCCCCAAAATATACAAGTTATGCAAGACCCACCAGATAAGGATTTCAAGTGTTATTTTACATCAATTCAAATCTAAAAGTGTTAAATAATGTTCTTAATGAATGGATGTCCAAATAACTGATAATGTACTTGTAATACAACGTGAGAAAAAGTAAACTTTTATAATAACACACCATTAGAAAGGAAAGGTATTTACAAAAGAATAAAATCTATTCCTTTTCCCATAGCTCCTAACTTTTATATGGTTTTCTTTACCATATTCCAGGCATTTTAGTTATGAGAGATGAATTCCTTTCCTGATATAGGACTACTATATCACACCAATTTAAACAATTTTTTTCAAGCACTAACCAACATAAGGCGTGTACTTGTGTAAAGGTCAAGGGTTTTTTTTGTATTCATTCACAGACTGCGTACTCTGCTGCCTGGGCCAGAATTTAATGTCCCATTCCTAGCTTCCCTTGAGAAAATGGTGAGCTGCCTTCTTGAACCACTGCAGTTGTATGCAGTTCCAGAGTGCTACTAGGAAGGGACTTCCAGGAATTTTACGTCTGACAATAAATTTTTAGTAAAATTATAGGAGGTTGATAATAAAACTGATATTCAAGAGATTAAAATTCACTCTTTCCCATCATCTTGCTACCTAACTCTTTATGGCAGTACATCAGCTGAAAGGCATTGCCAGGTCAGAGACTATTCCCACCAACCCCACTCACCAAAACTACCATAAATGGAGCCATAAAGTATTTTTATTATTCTGCACAGACACGAGGGACTGTTTGGTCACCTTTGAATTAGTTAGTCTGTATGAGGGTAAGTTTGACCTCAATGTCAAGCAGGCGCCAAGTAGAAAGAGCTTGGATCTTCTCGCCAAAGCCAACTGGAGGCTAAGTACCAATATGGTCCAGGTCGGGAGACCGTTGTTCTGAACTTTTTTCCCCTCCATTTTATAATTTTTTCCTAAATCTGCAAGGCTGAACTTTTTTTACTTCTCTCTTTTTCCAAGGACTATAACCGAAAAAGCTGTACGTAGGGACCTTTGTACCCAAAATAGCACCGTAAGCGGCAAATTGTATACTTTTCAGTGTAGTCATTTGAGTACACGTGATAACAAAGCCAATTCTAACTTAACCTCAACATGAGGCTAATCATGATTCAAGTGCGTTCAGGACGCCATTTTTCAGGAAGAAGCTTGCTAAACGCCATCGTCCCAAAGAACAGCTTCCTGTTTTGAATAATACACATCTTGAAGATTGTTCCATGGCTGGATCAATCCAATTCCACATCATAACAAAGCTTTCTAACCAAGAGGGTAAAGCAGCATTTCCTTCCAAGGTGCCAACATCTATGGATCCATACTCAGAAAAAGTCTACATACTTAGAAGATGCAGAGAGAAAAAGAGGGAGCACTGTTTTACAAAAAGGAAAGACAACTGAAAAAAAAAGATAATTTAGCTTTATGGCAGTACCTTGATGTGCTGGTTGCTGCACTCTCTGAGGATTGGATTAGGTAGGCTACTGCAGTGTTTTCTCCAGCTGTTGTAGATTGAGAGTACTACCTCTGCCAATCCAGGTGGCCATTTTGCCAAGAATTTCTGACCAAGCGCTTTTAAATATTTCAACATCAAATCTAGTATCCCACCGTTCTTCTGATTGTTCAGCAAAAACACATGAACATCTTGTTTTTCTGTGTGCATAAAATTAAGAGTTAATGTTACAATGGATTAGGAATGATTAATACGCTAGCCAGCATTAAGTTGTCAATCCCATTCCAAATGGCATGACACACACATGCACAGTGCTTTGCTGTTTTTCTGACCTCAAAAAGCAAAGGCGAAAATATTAGCTTCAAACTACCACTAAAAAATGAGAGGGAGGTTTCGAAGGAGCTCTCAATGCACAGATTGAACTTCTTTCAAAGAAGCATTAAAGACTATTTTTCCACTGCTGACCATTTTTCAACCACCACAGACCAAATAAGTAGTAACTAATGTAAAAGGGAACACAAAGACTTATAAACAGATGCGTAAAAGATTAGTCAAAAGAAGATTGAAGCCAATTGGGAACTAAAAGTGTGATTTTCTTAATGAGACAGAAAGGCATGATTGAAGGACTGAAGGTGTATTTTGCTTCTATTCTCCACCAAAGAGGATGTTGCCAATGCAATAATAATGATCTATTGGATCAAAGAAATCTATGTCAATGCACAAAATAGAAAAGTCATCCAGCCCAGATGGTATCATAGTTTACCAAGAAAAAAGTGGAAATGACAAAAGCTCTGGTCACAATCTTCCAGTTCTCCTTGGATACAGATGTGGAAACAGGAGATCATAAGGTTTGGTCGGTTACCAAACCCATTTTACAAAGGAAGAGGGGTGGATCCTGTAACTAACAGGTCACACAGCTTAATATTGGCAGTGGTAAAACTCTAAGAGTTAGAGTCATAGAGATATACAGCACAGAAACAAACTCTTTGGTCTAACTCATCCATGCCAACCAGACATCCTAAAAAGTCTAGTCCCATATCCCTCTAAACCCTTCCTATTCATGTACCCTTCCAGATGCCTTTAAATATTGTAATTGTACCAGCCTCCTCCACATCCTCTGACAGCTCATTCCATACACACATCACCCACTGTGTGAAAAAGTTTCCCCCTAGGTCCCTTTTAAATCTTTCCCCTCTTACCTTAAACCTATACCCTGCAGTTTTGGACTCCCCACTCTGGGGAAAAGAACTTTTCTATTTACCCTGTTTATGCCCCTCATGATTTTACTAACCTGTATACAGTCGCCCCTCGGCCTCCGATGCTCCAGGAAAAATAGCCCCAGTCTATTCAGCCTTTCCCTCTCCAACCCTGGCAAAATCCTTGTAAATCTTTTCTGAACCCTTTCAAGTTTCACAACATCCTTCCTGTAACAGAGAGGCCAGAATTACAAGCAGTAATCCAATAGTGACCTAACCAATGTCCAGTACAGCTGCAACATGACCTCCCAACTCCTATACTCAATGCAATGATCAATAAAGGCAAGCATACCAAACCCTTTCTTCACTATCCTATCGACCTGCAACTTCACCTTTAAGGAATAATGAACGTGGACTCCAAGGTCTCTTTGTTCAGCAACACTCAGAAATAACAACGCAGAATAAAATTAGTAGGCATTTGGGAAAGAATTAGTTAATAAATGAAAATCAACACAACTTTGTTAAAGACCGACGTTTCTGGCCTAGACTCTCAGGCCTGAAACGTCAGCCTTCCTGCTCCTATGATAACAAAGGTGTAGAGCTGGATGAACACAGCAGGCCAAGGTGTAGAGCTGGA